ACGAACACAGGTGAACGAAATCTGTGAACGACCCCAAGAGGAATTTTCCATTAGGGTGTCCTAGACTGAAGAAGCAGGGACGAAAAAATCCGGGTTCATCATAGAGACGAACCCCCCTAACCGATCTATCGTAAAGCTTATTCCTCCCCACTAATCAACAAACAGGGACATCAGAATGAACACCCAGCACTGATCCCGTCACTAGTCATAAGGAGGAATCTCACGGATTGGTTCCCTGACTGCCTTAAAACCCAATCAACCTACTTACTTACTCATTTGGCCTGACGAAGCTTTTGTGTCAAAAGCGAAACGTTGCACAGCAATAAATCCACCGATTGTTTACCAAATCCCTCTGAAACGATGACTTCCCAATCGGTCCCAAACATTTTCCTATTGTTTCGTACATCACATAATTTAGACGGATGTATCCCGTGCGGGACTCGTATGAAACGAAAGTATGTCCTTATTGGTACGAATGTCAGCCATTCCGACTCGAGGATCTTTTGCTCTGCGCTCTTCGCCACCTCACGGAAATTGTAGCACGTCCTTGTTGAACATTCTGTGATTACCCTATAAATACATTTCTACTGATTTTCCAATGCCTCAGTAAAGGGCGTGTAGAGTTACCGTGCCTTTGGTATACCGTAGGGCCGGAGCAGGATGTCAAATGACCGATCATCCAACAAATCACAACAGAGACGTTCACAATGGCATGCATAAAGTTAATGTCCTAGGGAGCGCAGTGCCGGAAGCGGAATTAAAACCAGGAAAATGTTAAGGCCGATGACAATCCACTGCTGGGCCTTTTGGCATGTTTTACAATGAAGAATCAGACGCCTAGAAGTCATGATCAAAATGTTAAATCTAGGGAAAAGGTCAATTTCATCCGGAGGAAATGACCACACAAAAGCAACGGAGTAATGTATTCTTTTGAACGCTATAAGAACCTACAAACAAAATAATTACCACACAGAAAACGGCTGATATCTAAAAACCAAGAGAAGTGTAGATTAATTGGTTGGAAATCGGTCTTAGATAAACCGAGTTGACACGTGACGGTGTGGTTACCAATCCACCTAGGATCATTAGAAAAACCCGGGGGGGGGGGGTATGGGGGGAAACTCCAACCGAACAAAGGTCACAGCATCCCTCCTACACAACTTTCTTAGCACTAGCTCACCCACACAGACTAACGGAAGGTTCAAACGAAGTTCAAGAGGAACCATCAAATGAACCGAACCAGAAGAACTAGACCCTAGGCAGGACCCAAAAACATGTAGGTTTCCCCACCGACCCAACACTTGTTCAACCACCCTACCACACTAAAATCCCTCGGCCGACACCTAACAGAGATTTAGCTTGATTTAGCTGATTGGTTCTCCTTCCGCCTTAAATCTCGATCAACCTCCGAACCTAGTCACTTGGCCTGACGAAGCTTTTGTGTCAAAAGCGAAACGTTGCCCAGCAATAAATCTACCGATTGTCACCAAACTTTTTAGGAAAATGTTGACCATTTGATGAAAACACGTCACGTCAAATAGCGGAACTATGAAGTTAATTACTGTCAGTCAAACAGAAGAAACTTTTCTTGCATGTGAAAGACATTAGGTGATACTCAATCGAATCAATGAAGGATTCCATCAAAAGCGTGAAAGAGGCGGAGAATGACGTAGTTGGACTAACGTTAAGGGGCTCTAAAAGACGATGTTTTTCGACTGCTTACTTGAGAATAGTTTGGGACGTCTGTAGTTTGTTCAAGTCATTTTAAGAAATTTGTACCATATGAAATGACGCAGAACGAAATCGCCAACCAGGTGTTGAGGAATGAGTGCACTTGAAACAAAAAAGTCCTGTTCCATGGAATTGCTCATGGTGATCAACAGGGTCCTTCCGGAGCACTGTTATCCTAAAATTAAACATTCTTACACAATAGTATGCGTCACCCCGTTATATTTTTCGACCCGGAAAAGTGACGGTTGTTCGATCAAGTCGATCGCAACAACCGATTGTGTAAAATTTATTCCAAAAGTTTACAGTACGCCCTGAGGTGCAAATGCAGGACGCGCATGATGGTTAGCAAGCGATTCATACTTCGCCTTGCAGATTTCAACAGTGAATACGACCATGACTTCGTCACCAAGAGCGGAGGCTTTGTGGTGTTCGTGCCAACTGCCCCAGTTGCATAAGTAGATTAGTCCTATTTGTAATGTACTACTCATAAGGTTGCTGAAAATCCATCGACAGCCCAAGACTGGTTTCGCCCTTCTTGGGGCTCATCAGGTAGGCGCAGTCCCCGGGTTTCCGTCAACCTTATGTTCTACTTGAAACCAAATTGCACGAGACTAGTGAATATACAGTCATCTGCAAACTCTTTCGAGAGACTCACCTGGAACCCAGCTGAATCTCTCGTTTATGATGTTCTCAGGCAACTGAATGTGCTGCACCAGGCCGTCTCATGTTTCAGTCGCTACGATATTTGAAATATCGCGATACATGTACATTTGTACTGTACTACTCATAAGGTTGCCTGACAACATCATAAACGAGAGATTCAACTGGGTTCCAGATGAGTCTCTCGAAAGCACCAAATTAGTTTGCAGATGAGTGTATATTCGCTAGATTAGTCCTAGTTTATCCGATTACGTATAACCAGGGATATGTGCAGACTGAATTGTGAGGGTTGATCTTCGGACGCCAAGAAATCCCTGAACATACAGAGCCTTACTCTACTACAAACAGATCAATGATGGCGTCAGAACTAATCAGTCAGAATAATCACGAACCATATGTGAAACTCTTCTCAAGAGACCAAACACATCTCATTTATTCAATTCTGTATGCCACTACAAAACTCAAGTACGGTAGTTTATTAATAACAACAAAGTTTTGTGAAACAAGAGTTCTCCTGGAAAATCCTTTCTCCCCAATTGTAATTCGCCGCAGCTCTGTCTTGACGCAGAAATGTAACCACTATTCGTTACAATGGAATTGCAAGGGAAATACTTAAAAATTTTCAAACACCAGTAAGTACTTTTGTTCCGACGTTTCGAACATCAGAAGAATAACCTTAGTTTTAAGACGCATCGTGTCCAAATTTTTTCTGAGCTTTTTCAAATGCAATCCATCGAGAATGTGACCCACATAACTTGTTTTTGTATCCTTTTTATTAAAAAGCAAATGTTTTTGCCCCAGAAACACTTACTCTCTACTGTTTTGCACACAGCTGATCAAAGAGAGCTTGTCATTTCAGCTTCATTGATTTCTGCCGTTGTTTAAATTTACTGACTCATTGCAATGAACATCAGCGGCACGAAAGCCGTTCTGTATCAATAATGATAATTTATTATTATTATTTATTATTTTATTTAAAAAAGACGTGAATTATAAGTTAGACTGTCTAAGGTTCAAAGGTCACCCACTTCGCGGCCTTTAAATCTATGCAAAAATTTATTAAGACGTTCATGAAAACGCGAAAAATGTGAGCACCAAAAAAAATTCATGAAGTTCTATCGGCGAAATATTCAACCGTGGAAAACACCCATCACTGTGTTGGAATTAAAAAAAACAGCACGTGGGCTGGACCACCAAATAGGTTTTTCCACTTTCTCTTCTTACCCAAACAAGTTTAATTGTTTTCCAATTTTGCCTACACCCTCCATTGTCTCTCCGTGAAATTTATTATTTCAGAAAAGTTTGTTTACTTTGTCAACTATATAGCTTTGAACAATAATGAACACAGATGTCTCACGTGGTGTGTCTACTGCTCAACTAAACCTAACGAAACAAGTGATGTTTATAACAACACCATAGAGAAATAGTTTTGTTGGAAAAAAGACAACTGAGTAATTGGTGCCCAGCTGCACGGCTTTGTGATTGCACTTAACACTGGTAGGTATTACAACCTAGAAGATACCACTCTAGAATTCAATGATATATGCAACACAGAATGTGAATTTTATGTTCAAATGCAGAATAACTACTGAAGTGTCTGCATTTTTCGGACACAGCAAGAGGAAAGATTAGCCGATGTTCAGTAAGTGGAAACAGAATGTTAGTTTCTAGGCTGGTAATGAACGGCCGTTGCATATCTGCCGTTAAATGACACGAAGCTTTCTGATGCTGTTGTTCGATGTAAAACGCAAATAAAATCTTTGCGCGAAAGTGAAAACAATGTTGCTCAACCTGAGAACCACAATGTTCGAAAGTGTCTCTCTAAGCGTCGGGTAAACGCCCGAATGCAACACCCAGGCACACTTAATCAGTCCAAAATTATCCCACTCAGCTGAAGCGTCGGTGTTTTGAACTGCCTGAAGGATATTACTCGCAAATATTATCAGTACTATATGAGTTATTTGACCTCCTGCATACGTTGAGTAGATTTCGAAGCAAATCATAGACAGTACAGAATTTGCATATTCGTGAGAAACGTGCAGTCGTATGATTGGTGACTGTCGTTTTTTCTGTGGACTTCTAAAACTTTGCGTGCTCGTAGTCACACGCGGTCATTTTACAATGACCAGGAGTCTAAAAAACGCGAAGATATTGTTTTTCTTTTTTATCGACCTTGCTAGAAACGCGTCATTTTAACCGCAAACAAAGATAAGCCTTCGTTTCACAATAGCTGGTTAAACAGTGGGTTGGTTTTTATTTGGGCAACGTTGGGCTTTTGATGCCAAAAGGCTTCACCAGGCCAAGTGAACAAGTCACCACGATGACCAGGTTTTAAGGCAGACAGAGAAACAACCAGTAAGACGTCATCGTAGCAGTGCAACAGACCAGTGTTGAGTGCCAAGTGGCGACTACTGTATGGCTTTAGTGTCATTGTCAAAATCTTGCGTTGTTGGATTGGAGAAGTCTCAAATTGATGCTGATCTGAACACAGTCATTTGCAAACTAATTTGGATTTTCGAGGGACCCACGAGGAAACCAACTGAATCTCTCGTTTTTGATGTTTTTTTTTCATTTCATTTATCTTCCACTTCAGCGGCTGCCACTGATAGATGTCGTTGTTCTTTGTGGGCTTGTGATGGTGCGAAAATTTGTTTTCGGGGTAGGGTAAGTTCAAGTGGAATTCAGATGATGACTACTCTTCCTTCTGATGACCTCCTTGTCTCTAAAATCTACGAAAGCTGGACGCGGTCGGAGTAGCACAGGCTCTCACACCACGCAACATAATTTATCCTAAGAAAAGTTGTTTGCCATCCTGCTTCCGAACGCGCGAGTACTACACTGCTCTTAGTCTCATACATGAACATTTTGGGCATCGGTTATGAGTTACGCGAACAAACGATCGGAGTGCATTCCGGTCTATAGCCATCCTCTAAATGACGTCACAGGATTAAGTAAACTGAACAACAGCATTATTCCGTTGGCCGTATTGAACACTTGCATGTACACGGTTTTATTTACAGGACCACATTGCTTGTGCGTTTGCCAAGTCAAAAGCGCCTCCAGAATATGTGTATTCACTTATTAAATACCTTGTATATTTGATCCTTTTGCCAAGTAGTCTACAAAATCGTCTACCCCCAAGTTTCCACGCTGAGATGTCGAAAGATGTCTTAGAATAGAAGACATTATCTGTGGCTTTTATTCAAGTTGGGACAGGTATTTGGTTCCCTTCTTGGTTAGGTGCAAGCTACAATATTCTGATAACGCAGTCAAAGATTTCGATAGAATTTTTTCTACTGAAACACACTCCAAACTGCTTGACAATTGTGATCTTCAATTTATGACAATAGAACTCTCTCACAAGCCAAAACATTACCAATTTGAAGTGTAATTGAAATAAATCTTCTATGTTCAATTGATAATGCACAGCCCAAAATGTGTAGTGTGCTTTCAAAGAATTAAGTATTATGAAGAAATTAGTTCCAACTAATGACAGATTTGTTCGCTCTTTGTTCCATTTTAGATCAATGCAGTGCACTAGAACGCTGTCGAATCAGAAATCCGCTAGCCAATAAACGCACACCATTGGACAAAAAGACATTGTAGGTGAAAATTTATGTGAAATAGGCCATTCATGCGGGAAATCAACAAAATGCTCTATGTGCCCTTCAACTTCGGTCCAGTCATAGCGTTAGGACTGGTATTTTATGGCAGTCATTGTCAGAAAAACTGTCAACCACTCCCCAGCATCCACCAGTTTTACCGCAAGTGCAACAGCCGCCTTGTCTATTGGAAGGAAGAGAGAAAACCCAGCTCGTTATACAAATGGGTGGGAAGATCGCGTTCGACAAAGCATCTCCAGTGCGAGAATAACTGCATTTCATCCCCAAACTGCACTGCTATCCTCAAGCTAGTAGGTGAAATTTGATCACTTGAACAACTTTCAGGCTTACGTAGATGAATGCAACCTTCTGGGATTTGATGACGGGACTAGCAAATCTAAAGACAGAGAGCAAGAAAATCTCCTGCTTATGGAATGCTGCGGTAAGCAATTTTTTGAAAACCTGCATCATTCTTCACTTGATGTTATACGCTTTATAGACACCGCCTTCTATTTTGTGTCTTATCAGCTGGATTTGCGTGTGAAAATTTGTCATCCTAAACATGTATGCCAATCTTTACAGTGACTGTATTGCGTCTCGTGCTCAGTTCTACCCCATGTATGGCAACAATATACATAAACTCCAAAACCCGAAAACAAACGATTTTTAGATATTATACGAAATTTCCTTTTAAGAGTATTGCGAGAGCTAAACAAGTTGGCTTACTAGTTGTTGACTGTTGCGGGAAAACCTTATTTCAAGTCACTCGGTTGGTCAGATTAGTTTACCTAACCCAGTCAGTCGCAATGGCTGAAAAAGAAGTGCAGCCATGTGAATCCCAAAGAGATGTCGACGATTGTGACTAACTACTGTTGCCACTGCGTCCCAAACTCCAAGGTTCTCACCATCTTTTCAAATCTTATTCCACGCGATTTTTTATTCCCGCTATTCTCACTTTTATGTCACTGGCGGACCACACTCATTTCTATACTATATTACTGAATAGCCGGTTTTTAATTGCCCTTCTAAGTTTCTTAGCAAGTTGGTGGGCTCTGCTTTCAACCTTGTGTACTGTGTTAACTTTGCCCGTTATCCTCTGTTGCAAGTGATTAAAAAATACATTTATTCAAGAAAAAGTTGGCACCCCTGAGGTTGTTTGCTTCCACTCCGATCTGAATAAAGCAGACTTTTGTGCACCTTTTGTTCTTTTATTGAACCGTGGGGTTGCTGTGTATGATGCGCTGAGTAGATGATCATCATCACCGTCATCTTCATCATCATAGCTCCAGGCTTGGTTAAGAGGAAGATGGGAGTCCTCGACCAAAGCTCTTGGTTCTAAACGCAACAGTATTTGGCTGAAATGCAAGCGCATCAACTCTCTCGAAGAATAAGTCACCGCAATTATTTAGCCATCCCAGCCTAGAGGGCCAAGGTTATCTTTGGTCAGACCGTTAACCACTGACCACCTTAGTGTGAGAGACTGTG